TATTATTCTCATAAGAAATAAAGGATTTTTTGTGATAAAATGATCGATTAAAATAAAGAAATAATAATATAATTAAAATAAAAAATATTTATTTGCTTTAAAAAATGAAATGATAATTAATTCAAAACAAATCTAAATTAAAAATATATATTTTGGGAAGAGGAAGTATATAACTAATGTTTTTTTTGGCACATTATATAACTAATGTTAAGACAAAAAATTTTCATCTATTGATTATGGGGGCTCACTACGTGATCAATAACCACAAAAAATTGGTCTTAACAATTCGTCCCAAAGTTTGATCTGCCGCATTGTTTCCCTTTCACATATATTGCAACTATAATTAGCAACTGTAGAGACAACATCATACAAAAAAGTTAAGTTGAATTACCTTCCATCGCCCAAGAATCTGTTGATCGAAACCCTCTTGGAGATAAAATTTCTCTAAGTTGTGTGTTTCTATTCTTCTCTCATGCGAATATCGGTAGATAAGGTGATTGAAACAATGTGGGAAAAGAATCTCATGTAGAATGATTGTGAACGAAGAGAACTTTCTGAGTAATTTAAACTAAAGAAAGACATTCCTCTCCTGTAGAATGTTGTTTATGAACAATCTTCTTTTCTTTTCCGATCGAGAAAGAAAAGAAATGGGTGAAAGAAAATGGACATTCCTGTACTATGGAGTTTTGTTTATTTTCGTCCTTATATTTTAAAATTGTTTGTTTGGGTCCTTGTACGGTTGTTCTCTCCACCTTCAAAATTGTTTGTTGAGAAATCCTTAATTGAAGGCTTATAGTATGTTTAGGTGAAGGGAAATGGAGAGGAGGAGAGAAAAAGGAAAATTTTTTCTTTATTTGATTATTAAAAAAATTGAAGAAAAGAGGAAGAAAAGTCTTTTTTTTTTATATATATTTTTTTATAATATATTTGAATTAAAGGGAATGGAGAAGAGAGGAGAGAAAAAAATTTATTTATTTGATTATAAAAAAAATGAAGTAGAGGGGAGGAGAAAATTTTTTATTTTTTAATTTAATTATTTATCTAAATAAAAAAAAAAAAAAGAGGAAATGAGGGGAATATAGAAAAATAAAAGGATATAAATTCTCCTTCCCTCCATTCCCTTCAACCTAAACATAGGGTTAGGGTCGGTTTGATTCACAAAAATGCATTTCAAGAAATTGTTTTCTGAATTTTCCATTGTTAGGAAGCACTTGGGAAAATAAGTCAATGGAAAACATTTTTGGTCAATGGAAAATGCTAAATGCATTTGCCAGAAAATTTCTGGATTTCTTTCCCGGAAGTTGTTTTCTGCGTTTAAAAACGCGGACCCATTCACGGGTTTTCGGATCTAAATCGGGTTATCAGTAACTGATGCTGGTTCTGCTTCTTGGAATCCCTTTCACCTCCGAAATCTTCTCACGATAACGTTACCGTGCGAATTCATCAATATCGAGCACAGTTAGTCGACCCAATTAATTTGTATAGATAACAAAACAGTTTGTTGACCCAATTAATTTGTATAGATGACGAAAGCATCATTGTAATCCTTCCATTTTTCTGCGATTTTGCTCCCGTAAGTGAAATTTGGCTTGATTTTGAGTTCGTATTGCTGTTCTTGATTGGGTTTTCATCTGGAATGTCTTTTTTCTTCTTTTTTTCTTTTCGTGGTTTATGATTTGGGTTCTCTTTTTTTTTTTTTTTTTTTTCCTTAGAATGTTGCTTGAAAGAATTTGTGATTTATGATTTTAGGTTCTTGATTGACTTCATTTTCTGCTGTGTTGACTTTATGTGAAACTGCCCTAAAAGTATCATACGAAATGTCGAAGCCAATTGTTCTCAAAATGGCTTCATTGATCTAAATGTGCAAATGGGTTGCTGCTGTGGAGCTTTGATTTTTTGCTAATAGCTGATGGGTAAAAAGAATTCTGCAAAATCACTCGAAAACAAGGAAGAAAAAGAAGAAGATGCTGTGGAGCAAGAGCAGCCATCTTCTTCAACATCCACAGCATCTTCCTCAACACCCAAGAAGGCTGGGAATGAAATTGATGAACTCTTTCCTGGTTAAAAGAGGAA